TGCGGCGAGATGATCTGTTTTTGGTCGGACACATCAACATCAATCCACGGCACCACGCAACCGTAGAGCAACAGAGCCTCCGACACGCTAATTATTTCATTATTTCGGATTGTCCATCTATCTATATGATGCTAGCCGTCAGCCCCTCTGCCGCCCTACGATTGTTGAGCTCGTCTACCTTTGGGCAGGTGGTGGTCAAAGAAGGGAGCCGCAACCGTGAAAAATGAGCCGGCAAACTGAAGAAATCGGAAGCAACACCCAGGTTGCAACACTCTGCCCTGCGCTGTTGTTGCTGAAAACTGAAAACAGCAGGCCGGGTGGACGGGATCTTTCTAAGTGTGTGTGCTGTCCTTTGTGTCGGGTCCTGCTCATTGCGCTTTTACCGCTGCTCTATGGTGAGCAAAACCAAGTCAACCTGTTGTGTGCCGAGCAAAGCGTGTATTCAGGGATGACATCACGAATAGAACAAGCGAAAAAATATCGATTCTTCTTTTCACCGTTCAGTGAAAAAATGCGTGAATTTTCCGTTGCGTTAACAATAGGCCTATAAGTAGACTATTATGTCCTTTTCGTGGGGCGGCCCGTTACATATTTTGTCCGACTTTGTTTGGTACTTCCACAGTTTTTTTCCCGAAGTTATCACAGGGTGTTTTCAAAAGCCTTACTGTCTGCAAAAAAAGTGACCACCATGTTAGTCCGCCTACCAAGGAGAGCAGGGGAACAGCATGCACTGATGTTCAAAGAGGTTACTCAACAAGTGGCCCTTCATGAGGGCCTTCAGTACACCGTCAATAAGGGGAGTTGGTGTGACGTCATCGGAGGAAAACGGTGTGCCCGAGAAACTCCGCTTCCGTAGCGCCAATGATGACTTTCGGGGGCGTCCTTCTCATGCTGTGAGTACGCAATTAATTGTTGAAAAACAGCAAGAATGATACCGACGTTAGAGGCAAAAGCGTGTCGTCAAGCACGATCAAGTCGTCCAAACGCGATGCGACACAATTCATGGAGACGATTCAACGACTTCTTATTCGTTGACAAGCTTGCCAATAAAACCTATCACAGGGGGCAGCAGAGCTTCCGTGCGGCATTGCAGGCCACTCAAACAGCTCAGATTACGTCGCGTACTACGCCAAAGGGATGGTGCCGCGGTGAACAGTGATGATTTGGCGAAATGAAGATATTTCAAACGTGCGTCGAAAAGAGGAGATGATTCTGTCGCCTGCATCAACAACTCCTACTAGACTACACATGTAAAAACATTGACCGTAATTCACGTTGAGAATGCGAACACCATCACTGCACCACTTCTTTGATGTAATGACAACCAAAGGGTTCCTGTAAGACCAAGTCGAAGGTTGAATCAGACCCACCCATGTAAGAACAGCGTCCAACTTCATCGCGGTTACCCTCCCAGGCGGGACTGTCAGCTTTGGCGAAAAAACGTGAGGAGGCGGTACATACGTGAGGAGGCGGTACATGACGCTCACGGACAGCCGGGGGGTCTTCCGGCTCAACAGCGTCGTCTTCCGGCTCAACAGTACATTTGACTACAAGAACAACGGCGCTCGCGGTGGTGGGCCCGGCCACTTTCCTGGAGGACGTCGCCGCCGAGGCGCGCGACTCTGCGGGCGCCGGGGCGACTCCGCGGGAGGTCCGGACGAGGGCCAAGACGGAGCGAGCCTCAAGGCCACAATCGACGTCCTCTTCCTGTGGTCCTGTCCCCCCACCGGCTGCCGACACGGCGGGCTTTTTTCCCTCTTGCCGACGGGGGGGGGGAGGGGGTTCGACGACGGGGTTATAGCCGTTCCGGTCGTCGTCTTGCCACGGCGACTCAGCCCCCGCCACAACGACGCAGCAGACGTGATCTTCCTCCCGGGTGTCCTGCTACTAGGCGGTGGGCGGCGACAGAGGAGGAGGAGGAGGAGGAGGAGGAGGAGGAGGAGGAGGAGCACCCTGCCGCGCCCGTGTTGGCGGCGCCGCAGCAGCACCCGGCGTTTCGGGCCGCTCCCCCCGGCGGATCAGGGAAACGCCTTCGACACTGTTGTTCCAGAAAACGGCGCTGCCGCCGCCGCAGCGGCACAGCTCCAGACCCTCCCTTCATCGCCGTTGCCATCCCAATCCCGCTCCTATGAGCTCGGCGGCAGCGGCGCACCGCGGGCGACGGAGGGCGGTCTCCTACCCCGAGTGCTCGCGAGGGTGGCCCGCGGATGATGACAGCGGCGCCGCGCTCGCCCGGTCTTTCTTGGCCGCCTCGCTGGCGGCAAACGGCACCGGTATCGGCGGCGCTGTAAAGAAGCCGAAATCATATCAGACTAGTCAGCGCTGACTTGTAGTCAGCGCTGACTAGTCTAATGGTTTGATTTCGCGAAGACGAAGACTTCCTTCTTCTCCGCCAAAACTGGCGGGGGGTTGGGCTAAGGCGTCCGTGTATAAGTGGCTGCTGACTTTGTACACAAAGGAAATCGGCAAGGCAGATCCATAACCTCGGGGAAAAGTATTGGATCTTAGGGGAGAACGCGACGTGGCGGACGTCTCGAGGGTGGGCTTCTTTTTTTTTTGGTGATGCGTTTGATACCCACACGGAAGGAAACACAATGTTGGTGTCCCCGAGTTTGCACGAGCACGTTGCGCTGTATGTTAAAAACCTTAGAACTCCGTGTTGTGTGCATACCTCGGTATTTAATTCGGTTGATTTTCGTCGTGGTACAGGTCTCTGGGGTGTTGGCCGTGTGGGCGCCCTCGTTGCTTGTAGCTTGGGCCCCGACTTACACTGTAATCTCTCTTGGTGTTAGACTAATCTTTTCAAAACAAAATTGCCGTCCCGTGTTTGGTGGACGTCGGTCCTTAGGATAATAGAGTAGACCTTTCCGGTGCAATTTCTGCAACCACCAGCCGGGGTTACGTACAATAGTTAGGCGGAACAGGCCACGCAGAAGTTGTTTTCTCCGCCTTTCTGCTGCGTGCGGTGGTTGCCTTGTTTTCATTTTTTCTCGAGAAGGATTGATTCAGCCGTTCCTTTCCCTCGTCCACCGCGAAAAAACATTGCTCGTGGATTGTCACATATATGCAAGTTTATGAGGTTATGGGGGAGATCAAACGAGGGAGAGTGTGGTCATTAGATTGAGGGCTTTGCATGCTGCTGGCATTTGTGTGACATGTATCTGGACCTTGTGGATTCGTTAGTCTCTCCCGGCTTGTTTGTTGGATCTGCTGCAGTATCTCGTATGCTGGTTTTCTAAGTGCATGAAATTTCCGTCTTGATTTCGACAAGTATTTACCCTTGTCTCGGTGGTTGACTTTTGTGACCACACGGAAAGCGTCAGTTGGACCGGTGCGGATGCTGGACGGTACAAAGCAGAGCACGGAACGGTTGATGACGTGCAGGAACAACAATGAAAAAGTCGCTTGTTGCCCACGGTTTCTAACGTGCAGGAACAACAACAAAATGCAAACGTCGCTTGTTGTCCCGGGACAACAACAACAGTGTACACGTCGCTTGGGGTCCGGCGATTGCACTCCTGGAACAACCTTGGTTGGAAGCAAGAGAGAGAGCGAAAACGACGTCGGTGTGTGCGCGAGCTTGGAGGGGAACGGCAAGCGTCCGTCCTCCTTTTTGGCAAGCAAGCCACACTTCATGTTTCTCTTGTGGCGCGCTTGCGTTCGCAGCCACGCGACTACTCGTAAAACACACACACATACATGATTATCAAAACTTCGCGAGGGCTTCTGTCCCGTGGCCAAAACGTGTCTGCACAACGTTGTTGCGTCTTGATTCGTTCGCCTTCTTGCTTGCCCGCCCGGCGTTGACTGCGGTGTGTTGAACACGCGGCGTCCTCGCTGCAAGCTTGCAGGAGAAGACCCCCCTCTGGATCACAACCTAACACACACAAAACCCTCACTCCACCCTTCACCTGCCAAAAACGTGCTCTTCGTGGTTCGTTCCAAATCTACACCAATCACAGGCGAAAGACTCCTCCTGTTGTTTTGAACCGCCGCCGCCGCCAACGCTGCTACTATGGGTGCTATTTGTTGAGGACTTGGGCAACGTTCTTCTCGGCCGGAAAAACAAAAACAAAAAAAACTTCGCAGAAAGTCTTTGGCGCGCCGTTCTCCTCTAGAGTTGACCAGCCAATCGTTGTCACACACCCTCACAAAGCATCCGCAACGCTAGCACCACACCACCACCGCCACCAGTTGTCTCCCCCCCCCCCAACCCACACACTCTCACGCAAGATCAGACGCAAATGGATCTATGGCCACTGAATAACAGCTACATGCAAGCACGTTCCAGACGTATTATACAGGCCGGCCACTACAACTACCAGAAGAAGGTGGCGTGTGCGTGCTGTAGTAGGGCACCCGGCAACGGTGGTGTTTGGTGCCATTCACGGCAGCACACCAACCACCACCGCGTCGTTTCCTACGGCCTCTCTCATGGTCGCCCGAGGCGCGAAAAGCGCAGAGGTTCCGCGCGTGCCGCACGCGCATGCTACAGCAGTAGGCCTCCCCCCCCTCCCCCAACAACAACCGCCACCGCTACTCTGACAGAGGTCTAGCTATAGCGTCACACCCCTGAGCGATGTAAAACAACGCGAAGAAGGACAAAAAAAAAAAGGTAGGTCCAACAAAGTACTGCTACCCCACGAATACGGTAAGATAAAAACACCATTGCAAGATGCGGCTTGCAACCTCGCAAGTTTCGCCGCACAACACACACGGCTGAATAAAGTGTGGGGATTGGGGGGGGGGGGATGTACACCAGAGAGAGACTTGTATGCCATGTCCTCCCCAAAACGAGGGATTGGTTCTCTAAATACAAACGCGTCTCGGTCGTCCCCGCTGCTTGTAAACACTACTATAAATACCACCAGGTGCCACACACAGATGGATACAGCAAAGTAACTGCTTTCATGAGAAATACTAGCCTATACCTCTTGCGCCCCTCCCCCCGCCCCCGCCCCCCCCGATGGGCCCACAGATAGAGCTCGCTTGACCAATTATCAAGCGAGACCCACCACCCACTACAGGGACAAGGCAAGGGACAACAAGAACAGGGACCACGACCAAACGAAGGGGGGCACCAACCCAAAATGGCACCAATACCTCTGCTAAAACGGCGACTGCTGCTGTAGGAGCCTCGCAACTAACTGCCTCGATATCTACCACACCACACGCCCTAATCCACGCTGAAATCGACAACAGCTACACACACTGGAACACGAGCCGATCATCACACAGGCGGGGCCAATCCTCTTCGCGTAGCAAAAAGGTGGTACCGACCGGACCGGCGCAGTAAACGACCGTTGATGGAGGCATGCACGGCGAAACACACAAACGCTTTCATTGGTCAGCCGGCTAGCGCGGTCGATGCTAAAAACAAAATAAAAAACCACACACAATGGGGCTCCGGGAGTGCGAAACACCGGGGGGGGGGGGGGGAGTGGACCCCACGGCCCCCCCTGTGGCAAAAATAAACACCTCCACCCCCGGCGGGAAGGAAGGAGGGGTTGGACCCTTTTCGCGTGCTGCGGACAACGCGCACACCTCTACCCGAAAAAAAAAAAAACTTCCAGTAGTCTAATACGCCACCACCACCGCTACTTTACGCTGTCGCCCCGCTTGGCTCTCCAATGATTGGACGCCCAAAGTAGCCGCCGCCCCCCCCTCCCC